TATGTTAAGTTCTTTCTCCATGCTCGGGAAGTTTTCTGCTATTTCTGCAGTCAGGTGTTTTTTTTTTTTTTTTTTTTAAATTCCATTTGTGCTCTCTTCTCTTTGTTTTTTTTTAATTAACTCCACTTAATCTTAGATTAGTCTTTGTGTCATGTAGCTACTTTTTGAATCCGTTTCCATATTCTCTTGTTATTTTTAAGGTATTTGTGGCATATGGTCACCAACATCAGCCCTCTTTTAGTTTTGACACTGTCCTCATATTGGTCACTTCTGCTGCCCATACTTTTAATAGATTTATTTTATCTCCTGCAATTCTATTTGGTACCTCTTCATGGATTCTAATTCTTTGCTAAATTGGTCATTCATGTTTTGTAGAATTTTATTTAGCTCAGCTATCTTTTTATTAGCCTCTTCTGTAATCTCACTGGTCACTTTGTTATTAAATTCATTCTGCTTAGTTCTGTCATCTTGGAGCTTGTTGAGTATCTTATTAATTTGTTGTTGATCTCGTCTTATCATTTCATATAATTCAGTTGTTTGGGTTTTGATTTCTTTCTTTTTTTGGGGGGGGGTTTGATTTCCTCTCCACCAACGTCCCATGGATTAGTTTTGGAGGAGTTGGGAGTTTTGGGAGGCACTCTGTTGTTTTATCATGTTTCTATTACTGTTTTCTGTTAGTCAAGGTCAATAATAGTGGACACATGTGTTGCCAACAGGCAGATCTCTTTGGTTAGTGTCTGCTTTCCAGTGATGTACTGCTAGTGTGGCTAACTACAGGCCTTTGCCTCTGATACAAGATTTGACCACCACTGTTAATTTGTGGAGAGAATGGGAGGGCATAGTGTCATTGGCTCAGCACTCAGCTCTCTGGAAATGATTTACAGTATTTTAATGACACAAAGACAAACCAGATAGTGCTATATAGTAAAAAGCAGTTAAGGAACAACTGTGCCACGCTGGCAGTAGAAACAAAATCGGCAACAATAATAGGATCAAAGACAAACTGGATATTGACATACCACAAGAACCAGTAGTAGCTACTACTGTATAACCATTAACTATAGAAGAGATCTATAATTATAATATAGACACAAAA